CTCCTCCATTATCTGCATCGTCCGACTAACCGCAACTGTTCGATACATTGCATGTAACGGCTGGTTTTATATTGTATATTTTAAGGAGACACAGCCAACCTGCAGACCTTTTAATGCTTCATTCTATATAATTTTTGTTTTTTTCTATTCTTGGCAGCCTTCTTGCCACGGCTTACGTTACGGCCCTGCCCAATATCCCGAGTGCTAGCGTTGTAGCCATCATAACAATCTTGTCCTCAATTGGAGTGGGAAGCAAAGACGATGTCTCCATCCTCTACACTGTGGAGTTTATAAAGTAAGTCGCGCTATCGAAAGAGAAGGAGAATTCCTGATACCCTAGAGTCTTTTCATCATGCTCAAACACCCTGTCAAGGCTTCAACATTTAAGGACATACTAACGATTTTCTAACCGAAAAGCGCCGACGTCAGCGCTAGAAGTGCAGTTTACACGTCAGCATCGAAATGGGTGTGTTTCCTACAAGTCAATTCAGTTTGTTGCAAGAAAAAAAATGTTAATTCATTTTTGCGAGAAATAAGCTACAGGTTTCGCTAACCTAATCAACTCTGTTTTGGATAACAATTGCCAAAAGATGCGTTGACTTTCAAAATGTAGCCGCTTCTCCTTTATGGCGCTGGAATTACCTATTAAGGCAGTTATTTGACATCCCCCGATTAATACAAATGAGCAGTATATCTCAATATGTCATGGGGCAATGATCAGTATCAGTATACGTTAGGGAGATTTAGTTGCTTTTGAGTCTCCTATTTGTATATGTGTGCATGCCCTCAGATGATGCCACCACAAATTCTCGCTTTAAGTTCTCCAGAATCTGAGTGGGAAGACATACAGAAGAGGCTTTACTCGACTGATCCTAGTATACATTAGGAGATTAAAATCATCCTGGGTAGAGCCAACCGAGAACAAATCCAGAAAATGGTCCAGACTTTTCCACTAAAAGTGAACGAGGTCAGCTCGGATGCCATCTGAGTGGAAGGAGCCTTTCTGGCCTGATTTTCCGTCCTGCAAGAAGCACTGAACGAGCACTTAGAGGACAAATGAAAGAAAGATGCATTCTGATTACAGACAGTAACTTTAAAACTGTTATCTGTATCTTTTCATTTGTTGCGCCTCTACTTGGTTCAGTATGTTTAAGGTAACAGGTAATGCCTTTAAAGAGCCTACCTGTATACAATAATTTGATGAATATGTGGGCATCATCGATCTGGTAATGGAACAAGCCCTGGAGCTCACAGTTGAGTCCACATAGGCAGTCACATAGCAACTAGTAGGATAGGACGGAATGGATCTAGTCGCTATGTGACTGCCTGCGCGAGCTCAATTGTGAGATCCAGGGCGAAAACGGGACTTAATTGTTCTATTACCCGATCGGCGATGCCCACATATTCATCTTAGTCCCGACCTCAACTGACAAAGCAACGAGCCCGTGGTGCCGTGATAGAGTGGTCAACTCAATTACCAAAGGTCGCGCGTTCGAATCTCGGGAGTTCCGACCCTTGAGATTGGCTATGACTGGCCGATGGCGGCTAGAAATTGTCATTCCGGTCTTCTGTTGCTTTATCGGATCCATTCCATCCTGTCCTACTAGTAATTCAATGTCGTATTTACTCCGTTTTAACAACGATCATGAGGCGTTAAACTCTCAGATGTCTTACTGATATTCATTATTTTGCTGTCTTGTCAAATGCAGTGACCGGTTGCGATCAGGCAACATTGCCATTTCGCACATGTTCTGTACGGCCTTTACCTATCACCTCTGTGGGGCGGACCCGGAAGACGAGACAGAGGACGATTCTGAGGGAAAAGAAAGCCTGCAACCGGATGAGTTGAAGTGGGGCAAACTTTCAATTAGTGAAAGGGACGATTCTGATCCGGATCTACTCCTCACGCAACAAATCTGAACGAAAGGGCATTTAGTTAAAACTGCGCAGATTTTCTTGTGGCTTACATCCTTGGTTGTACATTGGTTTGTGCAAGTAAAGTCGCTGGACTGTTTCTTCCGTCAACTCTTTATGTCGTCTTTGTGTTGCAGAAAATGGGCAGTTAAATATGGGATCGTCATATAGGCAGAGGTTTCAGCTGTGAGACAGATTCTTTCCTGAATCTTAGCGAGTTTGATTAAAGCAGTCTGGTTCAAACTTTTGAAGTAGGTCTCAAGCAAGAAATGGCTTTCAGAAAAGCCAACTCTGTCCTAAGGTTGTACAAGCAGGATGCACAAAGTAGTCGCAGGCTTGTGCGCAAGTTGTATTTAGTGTTTTCTTAACTGTCTTTTGAGGAGCTCAGTTATATTATCTGCATATGGGAGGGTTCGTTGGTGTTGGCTCTTCTGTGGTCGCAGATCTGAAAATACCTTTTTTTCTTTTAATTGTTTTTGTCGTATGCATCGAACACTAAAGTCCGAAGGATATATCTTTTCAGGAAAATATTTTTGGTAACAATGAAGTCGGTCTACCCCTAGCCCCAGAGTTCTGGCTTACAGAACCGGTGGTACTTATATAGTTTAGTTGGGGGTCTAGTATTAAGCGAGGATATCCAAGTCAGTTTATAGACAAATATAGTAAACCTCTAAGACCTAAATTGACTAAGCAGTTAGCACCAAAAAAGCCCGTTTTCATCTTCTTGCCCTTTAAGGGCAATAACATTCTTAAATACCATCAAGAGACGCCTTCTCAACGCCACTGAAAGGTCGTACTATGCTGCCGAACTTATAATTTGAAATCCAACGAAGCCTTTACCAATTCCTTATGCGAAAGATGCCTTGCCGTTGCACGCCACTTCAAACTGTGTTTACGAATTTATATGCACTTGCGGATGCAAGTACAAAGGGCGAACGCAACGGCAATTGGCCGCCAGAGCTAAGGAGCATTTACCTTGCTGGTTAATGAAACAAGAATACAGAATTCCTCGGTCATCGATTACTGAACATCTGCTAGACACGGGCCATTTTTTTGACCCCAACACTTTTC